TAAAGAAATTTGACTGCAGGAGGAGAAGGGCAGTGTGCATATGTGTGTGCATGCTGGGAGGGACAGGCTTGGAGGAGGCCTTGTAGTGGGGGAGCTCTGTACAGTGTCCAATGCAGGGGTTCTATAAATTACAGCCTTGTCTTTTATTTTTAGTTTATGTAATGCAATGTGTTGCCTATAACTGCACTCTTTTCCATAATTAATGATGTCTAGGAAAATATTCTGAAATTCTCCTCTGATAAGCACCTAGACAAACTCGATGTTTCCTCTCCGAGATGCAAAAGAGGACGTTAAACTGTTTTCACCCCCACATCCCTCAAGCCATGAGAAGTACCAGATCCATCTCTGCTGGGCCAGACTAAGCCCTGGTTCACCACAAACTCAGTGCAGTACCGACAAATGATCTCCATAGTAAATGATGCAAATAAGAAATGTCAGCATGTTCCAAAATTCCTCACTTAATCTTATTGCCAGTTGTATAGTCTGGATAATCAGTAAATAAATCCCTCCAACTTTGCTCAAATCCTTAGGGGCTGAATACACAGAGACCACTTTCTAATTCATTCTCATTAACCTTCCCAGCTCTAAACAAAGTAATTTCCTACTTTTTTTAGCATCTGATTTTTCCACTGGCCTCTGCAACACCTGATTTAGCAGCAATGATTTCTCACTTGTGATTTCTGTTTCAAACTGGCATTGTTCTTTCTCCTCACACATATGCTTGCTGGAATAGCACGAATCAGCAAGATTTAAAACCTCCCATTCTCAAGTTTGAAGCCCCTAAAGGGAAATTGCAGTTGTGATGCCAAGGAACACAGTCGTACGTTATTTGACTTTTCCTCAGCCAGGCTGACAGCAGAGGGGGAGGGAGGGAGGAAGGAAAGGGGAAGGGAGAGGAAGATGGCATTTTAATAGCACCCACACTGATTTCACACAGTTGGATCACTGTGCTCCAGAGCGGCACCATTTCCTTTCCCCTTTGCCTCACATTCAGTCAATACTGCTAAGCCAGGCGCTACGGGAAGGATTCTCAATCTTTTTCTCCCAGCATGGACTGCATCTTAGTACAGAAATCTGTCTTGTGGACACCTCCCCTTGTAGGCTAGCTGGCTAGCCCACCTTTTATCCTGATTTTTGACAGACCATTACCTTGCGTCCCAAACCTTGCACAGACCACCCCACCCGCATCCCAGATATGACTAAATGGGTCAACATTCCTGCCATGACAAGATGAATTCTCATAGTCTCTGTAGCACCCACAGTGAGTGCTTATCTGAAAAAAAAATAATAACAGGAATGTATTTAATCTAATTTAGCAAATGGACATACAAGAACCACCAGCATCTTATGGAGATAAATCTACCTTTCCCAGATGAGTCATATGCCAAACACATCTTGGCCAGAGTTCTCAACAAAACATTTAATTTGATAATTCAGGTCCTAAGATTCAAAGCTCTCATGCACATTAATGGATTTTCCATAAGCCTCCATCAGGCAGAGTGACACTGGTCTACAAATTCTGGCAGAAACTCTTACCTCAGTAGAGTGTCAATGATCACCATCATCCATACTCCTCATTTAAGAACACCTTTAACTTTGCAAGCAAAAATTTGAGCTGCAACATTCCTGTAGCAGAAAAGCCTCAAAACAGATCAGAAGAGGAACTTGAAAAGAGCAAGCGCTTTACTGATGTGTAACAAATATTGCTAAACAAAAGCATATCATCCATCCAGGAGCATTTGGGATTCATGCCACAAGAACAGAAATTGAAAATTATTGGGTAAAATTCTTTTCAGGGGAAGAAATGAGTTGTGACCAACTATGTTGCACGTAATCCTGGACCAAATGAAATCAGGTACTGCTTTAAAACATGGCCTCCATTTTGTATAAATATGCCAAAACCCTTCTAAGTATTCTCACAAAACTGGTAGAAAATGAAAGGGTTTTTTTTTTTCCTCCCTAAAATAAAAGAAAATTGTATTTAAGAGACACTGAGATTCTGGTAAGTTAATACACGTCTGTAAGCATCAAACATAAACACTTCATGTTATAAGACCACATGCTTGTTGGCACAAATCAAAATGAAACTATAAAGAAAGTTTAAACCTTACATCACTCTGACCTCCTCTCTATGGGGAAGTTAAAGGACATCAGTGACTCCAAAATGAAACTATAAAGGAAGTTCAAACCTTACATCACTCTGACCTCCTCTATGGGGAAGTTAAAGGACATCAGTGACTAGCACTCTACCCTAAGGTCCAAGCAGGCACAATATGGAGTTTACCTTCACAGTTAAGATCACCTGGCTTCACCATTGCCACAAACAACCCTAACCTCGCACTTCAGTTGGATATTTTTGCAAATTAACTTTTTTCATGACCTATGGCATTTTCAGTTCAAAGTCTTTGTGACAGCACGATGAAAATGCAAACTTCTTAAACTTCTTTCAGACAGGGAACAGTAACTCACACACACACTCCCGAAGATTAGAACTGTTTTTGTCAAGAAAAGAAAAAACTGCCGTACCGTTAGGGCTAGCCCCTCTCTTTTCAGAGAGTTTATGCCTGCTGAGCAAAGCTGGGTAGTAAGAGCAGTGGTTTAATGTATCATCCTAATGACTGAATGTCTCACAGTACAGTTGCAGATACAAAAGTTTCACTCTTCTTCCTCTATGGTTCTATTTTAAAATGGTTTTTGTAATAAAATTACTGTGAGACAGCTAAATCCAAGGGCAGGCATGGAACTTGAACCCATGGCCTTCTGGCTTAGAGGTGAGACTATTCCTAACTGAGCCAAAGTGACACATACATAATATGCTTTCAAGGTTTTTAGAGAGCTCTGTCATGATTTAAAAACACTTAAATCTTTGTGGTACAAACCACAGTGCAGGAAAGAACTGGGGCTCCCTTTTTACTGCTAATTTTAGCTGATGAATTGTTTATAATCTCCTGCAAAATACATAAAGCCTTATTCTGCCTTAAGCTAGGAGAGAGCAGCCTTTCAAAACTGATTCATAATTATAGTGTTCCCCTGCTAGATGAGATGGACGCAGGTTCCAAAATTGTGTCAGAGTATATGAAGTGATAAAACGAGGATGGGTGAGCTATTTTTAAACACACTCAAAGACTTTGAGGTCAAAATCCCTGAATTTATAGCCTTATGGCCATATTAAGACTCATGGATTATTAAGACCTGCATGACAAAATTCAAATACCATTTCATTTGAGACACCCTCTGGCTTCAGACCATGTGTTCCCTACCAGTCTGCCTGCCAAACTGGGACCCCCCAGGGACCCACCTTTAAGCACAGATTACATCCCTACTGTAGACAGGCATTTGGGAGACAAAGGGGATGAGATGCTTCTATCACAGCAGCAGCAGCAGCAGCGTATTCCCTCCTCCCCTCTTTTCCCAAGACATTTTGCAGGTGAGGGGCCTGCCTATCCAGATGGGCAGGAAGCGAGTGGGTTAGAGAAAGAGTTTGTGGAGTCTTAGGCAAAAGCACTAACTGGTCCTTACTCTACCCAGTCTGGAAAGCAAATACAGCCTCAGGCCCTGGTGACATTTGCTCGCCACAGTGGTGTTTCCCATCTGAAGAGGGCAGCTGGGCACCTGCTGCTGGGACAGGATGGAGAGCTGCTGCCCAGTAACACTCAGCCTGGTTTAAACAGAAGTGATCCTGCCCTCTCCTACACCGTTTCTTCCCCACCGCAGGGAGAGAAGCTTTACAACTTTTGAAAGGAAAAGACTTTTTACAAAATCCAGATTTGTAACAAATCATTGTTCTGCTCATGGAAATAAACCACATACAGGCATCACCTTGGAAGGAACTGGCACTGCCTTTGCCCCCACAAGCTTCCCAGCACTGCCAAGTAATACCCTTGATCTGAGTTTTGACTCATGGCATATTTTGTCTTTCTAAAAGCTGTCACCCTCTATACACATACTGTTTTCTTTTCAGTAATGATCAAGATACACCATTTTTTTGAAAAAGGAAACAAAGCTACCAAGTGAGGAGAAACAACTGCACAGACAAGTCAAAATGGAAATAGCTCTCAGACCCTTTTCCCTATTGTTCTTGACAGTCTACAGAAGCTTTCGGTATATCTTCCCCTAGAGGCCAAATCAGTGGCAGCAAAGGTTTTAGGGCTCCGAGGACACTGCAAAATCATTTGCACCATTTACATTGTTCATTTTGTAACTGAAGTAAGGCTTTATGGGAAGGTGTTGCACAGAGACGAGCTATTATTTTAGAAAAGACCAGACAGTCTGGTTCGAAACACCAGAGGAAGACAAAAGGCTCTAGAGCTCTAGAGCTATTTTCAGGTAAGTGGATTTATTTGCTCAATTCCTGCAATTGCATTTATCTAAGCATCACCTAAACTCGTCATTTTTTTCCGTTTGGATTTCCATGCAGTGATGTGTAACATAAAATACTAATGAATTGTAGATGGCCAAAGTAAAAGTAAAAACATTAGTCAAAACAAAACTCAAGCTTTTCTTGATTGCTTTTGCATTTATAAAGCAATAAAACCACATAACTTGCACAAAACAAAAGCCTTGTAAAAAAGGTTTCATACAAAAAGGCCCAATAAGCAGTTTTAAAAAACCAATCCAGTGTTCTTGGTTCTGTTAGTAATTAATGTACACTCATGTCTTGATCAAAAGGAGTTACTAGAATGGGTTCTGTATGATACCCATCAGAAGACTACGATGCACTTACTAGCATTAGAGAGTCTCCCACTTGGAGCAATGCTGAATGGATCCATGTTCCTTACTTAGGAATTTTGCAAGTATTTTGTATTTTTACAAATCCATGTTATTAGACCATCCTATAAGCATTAAAGACTCATTCTTTCAAAACTTCCCTGTCTTGGTCTGAAAATCTTTACCATTACAATAGCAATGTGGTGAGTTCAGAGACACTTTCTCTCCTAGAGGTCAAGAGACGTCATTCCTTTACAGCTACAGACGCCCATGACTTATTTGAGAATTGTTACTTTCAGGAGTTGAGCCTTATTTATCTCCAACTGCAGTCACTAGGAATCTTCCTCCTGATATCCACTGGCATTTACTTAAGACTACAACAACCGCTTCCTTGCATTTTAGGCAAAACAAGTTGTAAAGTTTTTCCTACAGGTGCCCTTGATGAGTTTGATTTTCAGGCACAAAGAATTCCTGAACTCTGCTCTGCACCACAAATCATCCTTCAGCTACATCCTGTACTCCTGCATCCCAGTCTGCTCCCAGCAAAGCCCCTGGCAAAATTCCCATTGAGTTTAATAGTCCTGTCCTATTCCCCCCAAGCCCTAACCGCGGTTAATTTCTTTCCTCCGAGTATAAACAGAAATCAGCAGGTAAAAAAGTTTTGTCTAATGTGGCACTAAGGCTGTGGAATTTACTCCCATGTGAGAATGGCACAATAAAGTCATTTGTTTAAAAGTAAATTGAAAACATTCCAGTCCTCTCAGGCTTATGACTATTAGCTTTAGTTTCTGCACAGCACTGTAGAATGTCTGGCATCAAAGACACTTTGTACATTGCACTGAACTTGTATTGGACACTGTTAATGGACCATTAATCATAGCGAACAAAGATCCCATGCAAACACAAAAAAGTACTGATTTTTCACATGTTCAGCATGGACTAGAAAAGGTTAACACCACAGTTTTCTGGATACTACACATTTTGAGACATGAAGTGTTGACAAGGCATCTGAGAGGGTGCAGATTTTTCAACTGATAATTACATATTCCACATTAAACAATTCTTATTTGTGCCTAATGCTCTCTAGAATTAGAAACATACCTCAGTGTAAACTAGCACAATTTAAATTCAGATGCCTGCAAATGCATGTACTTCTTTACACCCACACACGGATACCATGCGTGTATGCAGGGGCAACGAATGGTTATTGGCAAGAAAATCTACAATGATGTGAACCATGGATCGCATGAACCATGAATGACCACAGTTAGAGAAACTGATGGCTTTTGCAAAACACACACTAACAGATCAACTAGCCTGAGGGAACGTGATTGTATGTTTGGAAGCGTTGGAAGAGGAATGGGAACTGAACCAGTACAAAAATGAAAAGACCTGAAAAGGAAAACCAGTCAGTGTCCAGGCAAGCAGCAAAGGAGGCACAGAGGAAAGACCATGGTCTGGAATCGCAGGCTGTATTTTGGAGTGCTGATAATATCAAAGGAGGAAATGCTGTGCCGTAGGAGCATGAATTACTGCTTTCAGCTCCTCATGACTGTCATGGGCAGCTTCTTGTCATCCAGATCAGAGCAGGGGAAAACCTGAGTCATCGGCCCTGAAGCTTGCTAATTGACAAGATTTCTATCAAGTTCCTCAGAGCAAAGTATTTTGGCTACCAAGCTTTCACAGACAAAAGTTCTTGCGCTCTTGTACCAGCTGTCTCAGGTGAAACAAAACTTATCATTCTCTCCTAACCAGGACAGGAGATGTGAAAGGAAGCAGTGAGGGAATAAACTGCTACCCTCAAAGAAAGATACATTGTGCAGAATCTCCTAAAAGTATAATTGATACACACCCATACCAGTCACCAGCTCGCAGTAACACAACAGCTCTTACTGCTGCCCATGGAGTGGGTGCAGAATCACAGTATGAAGGTATCAGCATGGTACTTGGGTCTGTGGAACAGCAACTGCAGTGCCCACACCCAACAAAATGGGAAGAAAAGCAATGCGAGTACAGGCTCGTTAGTTGAACCATGAGTGTATGCAATGATTTTGAACATGCTTCTAAAGAAAGACTTTAAATAAAATAAAATTTAAAAATAAAAAATAAAAAAGAAAGAAAGATGGCAGAGCACGCCAGCCAGACTCAAAAAGTTAACTGATTTTCTGACTAAGGGAAATCTGACCAATCTTTGGTTCAGCAAAGTGAATACCCTTAGGAGACTGGCAATTAAGTTTATAAAGATGACTATTAATGAAAGACTGGAACAGTAAAAAAACTGCCTAACAGATAAGTAAATGATAACATGGGAAGAAGAACTTGAAGGTTTTCGCCATCGGTATCCAATGGGTCGGTCTTACTGAAATAAAATAGCATGAACTTGTCAGTTAAATTTGCTTCCGCCCACAACACAAAATTGACAGTACAATGCGGGATTGAACAGTGTCCTGGAAGACACAGATAACTTCAAGACTGGAAAAACAGAAACAGGATAAAATAATAGTTATATGCTGACAGACTAATGACAGCTGCTGCGCTGGACAAGTAGCTCATCAGCTAGCAAAGGAAATGAAAGCCTAAACACCTCTAACTAAGCATCAGATAATTCTGTTATAATGTGGACGTGAGAAGCCCAAATGCATTGGTAGTCTCGGTTATGAGCAATGCAGGTCCAACAGAGGGAACACTGGTTTGTACGGTACTGGTGTGATCTTGTCTGGATTTCTGATGGAGGAGGCTGCGTGCCTTCTGGTGAAAGACAAGGCTTTACATTTCCCCTGTTTCCAGGGTTGCTGCACTATTTCCTTAAGAGTCAAATGAAACTGCATGGCCAGAACTAGAGGATTTTATCACAATAGCATTGAAACTGCTTTTCAGGCTCCACAGAGTAGAGCACTGCAGTCTTTGAGAGCACTAGACAGTTAAACTGAAATAGCTCTGCATCTTCTTATATGAACTATATGGCGCTCTTCCTTCCTCCCCTATAAGGTCCTTGTCCATGTTCCAAACCATACTCCCCTGCCTCCGAGCTGGAAAGGGCTGTGGATTGGCTCTCGCATTAAGCAGAGGAGTATATCTTGGAGGAAAGAGCAAAGATATTTGGTTAGAGGTCTCCAAAAACTCCCATGCACAGATCGACCCAAAGCTGCTTCTGCTGCTTACTAGGCCTGGGAAAAGAGGAATGTGGCCTTTGGAAAAGACTTTTCTTAAGAAGCCACTGGGCACGGAGACCATTGTTTGACCACTTTCTTCAGTGGGGGCTGAAGAAGTACTGCATATTCCACAGGTCTATGCAGAGTGATTTAGGAAGCCTGGTCAGACTAGAGTAGAAAAGCCATCTAAGGAAACAACTCCTGCCCTTCCAAGCATGATTTTCCAATTCCTGTCTCTGAATGGCAGAATCAGTCCTCTGAATCTTCACCTTCTATGGGCTTGCATGTAGGGATGAAAGGGGCCTGGTCATAAAGGGTGATCTGAATGGCAGAAGAAGAAAACAGAAACCGTCCCTGTCAGTAGTTGGTCCCATGGGTTGACTTGTCACCTTCTGTCACCCTTCCAGAAGTCTTCATCCAACTTGGTAAGTGGGCATGACCCTTGTGTGAGAAGAGCAGGTGCTGAGAAAGCAGGTAAACAGCTGACTAAAGATCTTGATGCTTCCATTATCATTTGGGCTGCTGGTTACATCTTCCATGTAACAGACAAGGGAAGGAAAAACTGAGACCCTAAAAAATAACATTTAAATTGATAAAAGCAAGTTGGAGTCGACCCTCAGTAGTAAGTATCACACCTGAGACAATCAGCATGTCAGTGACTAGTCTCATCTAACAGCAGATTGCTTTAGAATTACTGGAGGATCAAATAACACATTTGAGGATCTGCTACTCCAGCTAAATTTCCATATCCATCTAGTGAAAACTTTTGGGGTGTTTATCAGAAGGGGAATAGTAGAAGGGGGTGAGAGGGAGGTGAACTCTTTAAAATATAATTTATTTTCTAGCTAACTTCCTTTCACAAGGAAAAAAAAAAAAAAGAGTTCAGCTTAAATTACAGGCATGCAGACAAGCTCTCTCAGCCCCAGAAATTCATCCTACACGTTGATTAATAGTCAAACTATTAGAGCTTTAGCATGAGAAATGGGCTAGGCTTCAACTGAAGATTGCCTGTAGCTAATGATGCAGTGGAATGAACATTTTCATTCCAGCAAAACCATTCCTGTTCCTGTAAAAATAAAGAAATTCAATCTTGGGTTATGAAAAAGATTCAAACAACTTTGCATAATTCTTGGCTTAAAATAATGCCATGCATTTTAACAAATCTGTATGTACAGGCTATGTTGCCTCTGAAGTCAAACATACATACAATTACATGCATGTACATGCAGAGTATAAATATCTGAAGTGAGGTCAGAGAGCGGAAGAGAAGTTGGTGACCATAACCTAGAATTTCACATGTGCTAGCAAATTATAGAGTTACTAGATTTTAACATAGTTCCTGTCTCAGGATAAAAAAATTAAAATGTAACAAAAAAACCCCACTGCAAGAAAGTGCAGCGGGCTGTAGAGCATCTGCCTGGCAAGGCTGCCTGACATAGGCTGGACTTGCCTGGAGATCTCCCTGTGGTTCAGCCCCTGGCGCCATCAGTTGGGCCAGAAATCAAAAGCAGTGGAAGGAGGTAATTAAAAGTGACTCTGCACCACTCTGCTGGCAAAAGAAGACTCCACTGCGGCCACCGAAACAGGGTGGGAAAGGATTCAGGGGTATGTAAAAGAAGGCATTTGTCTCTCCAGCTTTAGTGATTTCCACTATGGAAACACAGCACTTTACAGCTTTTAACCTTTATGCCGCTGAAGTCAAATATCAAGTTTTTGTTTTAATTTCAGCACATAAAATGCAAATTCCAGTTCGGCTAATGTCAACAGCACAGTCTCCCTAAGCTAGTGTAAGTGAGTACCTCCCAAGTAAGGTGCAGAGTTGAAAAAGCACCACAAGGTAGCAAGCTGAAAACTGGAATTACACACAAATAGTGATTACCACCAGCACTTGTGCTGCCTAGACCAGCAATTTTCAAGGCTATGGAACTCAGAGAGGGTGTGGGGGAAGGCCATGAGCTTCAAACCATCCTGTTGGCTGCAGGAACAACTATTAAAAGAAATTAAGAGAAAAGTCATACCCCAGAAGGAGCAGAAGACACTGTGTTCCAACTCCAACCAGCTGAAGGAAAGTTTATACAAAAACAATCACTTGGTTAGTGACTCATAAGGAAAGAATCCCTAAGCTTTCTTCAGGGAAACCCCAGTAAATAACATGTCTAAAAACACATGAAGATGGTGTTGTCTGTTCCGTTACGATACTCAGTC